GCAACTTTGATGGTAACATGTACACATTGAACCTATCACGTTTATCTGAAGCAACTCATGTCCCAAACGAACATTGCTTGATTTCAAAGGACAATTCTAGGACTGCATGGCACAGAAGGTTAGGACATCCTAGTAACAACAAACTAGACCTGTTTTTGAAGAACAATCTTCTAAAAGGCTTGAACTCTATAAATGGTACCCTTGATCAATGTGATGCTTGCTCCTTGGGAAAAATGACCAAAGTACCCTATGTTCACACAGATAACAATCAGGAAAGCTACCCTTTGAAGCCATTTATGTCGATCTCTGTGGTCCAATGAGAATAAACTCCTTGGGCGGAAGTAAATATTTCTTGACCATCGTAGATGGATTTTCTAGGAGAATATTTGTAGAATTTCTCAAAGATAAACTCTCGGCAGCAGAAGTTTTGAAGAAGTTTATTGTAAAGAGAGAAAACGAGCTAAACTCAAAACTAAAACGACTTAGAACAGATAACGGAACAGAATTTATCAATAAAAACCTTGAAACCTTCATAGAATCCAAAGGAATTAAACATGAACTAACTACACCGTACACCCCAAGAAGCAATGGGAGAGTTGAAAGAGCTAACAGAACACTATTAGACAAAGGCCGAACACTTCTGGCAGACTCCCAATTACCCCTACACTTCTGGGCAGAAGCTGTGAATACAGCTGCATATTTGTACAATCTAACTCCTACAACCAATGACCCAGACACTACCCCTATGGAAAAATGGAAAGGTAAAAAGCCATCCGTCTCTCACATCATGAGATTTGGTTGTGAAGTCTTCTATAAACTCGAGAATCATCAAAGACACAAACTAGAAGCTAAATCTAAGAGAGGAATATTTGTAGGCTATTCAAGATGCAGAAGAGCTTATCGAGTATTTGATATCACAGCGAGAGTCATTCTTGAAACCGCAGACATTCACTTCAGAGAGAACAATAATGTCATCTCGGAAGAAAAACAAAGTGATAATAATACGGACACTGACACATATTTCTTCATTCAGGAGGATGAACAACTGAACAATCATGTTCTATCAGATGTTGATATTGAAGAGCCAGCACCAGATACCACGATCAACAGACAGACAGAGTCAAGTGAATCAGACAGACCACAAAGAACTCGTACAATACCTAAAAGATTCGATGACTACGTTCTGGCTACTACGAATGAAACCATTCCGAAAGACTATGAAGAAGCCATCGCATGCGAAGACAAGAAACATTGGGAGAACGCAATGCTTGAGGAAATACAGAACATGTACTCGCATCAAGTATGGGAACTGGTACCTAGACCTGTAAACGCTAAAGTTGTCAAAAGTAAATGGGTGTTAAAAATATCTAAAGACCAAGAAAACAAAACTTACAAAGCTAGACTTGTTGCAATGGGATACAACCAAATCCCAGGAAGAGATTATAACGAAAGTTTCAGCCCTGTAATTAAAAATGCCACCCTCAGGACTATTTTGTCAATGGCAGCAACAAAAGATTCAGTCATTAAACTATTTGATGTAAAAGCAGCCTATCTAAATGGAAACATTGAAAATACAATATTAATGGAACAACCTGCTGGATTTGTCCAAGACAGAAACAAAGTTTGCAAACTCAACAAAAGTATTTACGGTCTACCTCAATCCGGAAGATCGTGGTATGAGAAATTCAGTCAAGTACTTCATGACTGTGGACTGGAAAAACTTAAATCTGATCCTTGCCTATTTAAATGGAAGAATGAAGACAAATACTTCTATGTAGGGATATATGTTGATGACTTTATCACTGTCTCAGATTCTGAAGATACCTCAAACAGATTCATCAATAAACTGAGACATCATCTGGAAATAAAGGATGTAACATGTAAAGGTATGTTTTTGGGTATCAAGATCATACAAGACAAGGAGGGAATTTCGCTACAGCAAAGCCACTATGTACAACAAATATTGCAGAAATATGGAATGGAAAATTGTAAGGAAGTTCCAACACCAGGTTCCAAAGAAATCAATTTGGATAATCATATTGAAGATGACAATTGTGAACAGCACACTTACCAGGAAGCCCTTGGAATGCTAATGTTTCTAGCTGTTAACACCAGACCCGACATTGCTTACATCACTAGCAAACTTTCACAGTACTCCAAACAACCAAAACAGATGCACTGGACAGCAATCAAAAGAGTTATGAGATACCTACGAGGAACAATTGACCTAGGAGTGAAATTTGAAAGAGGGAAGACTGGAATCCTGAAGTCCTACACCGATGCCAGCTGGTCGACCACTCATGATGGAAAATCCTACGGCGGATATGTATTGAAGCTCGGCGAAGCAACTATAGACTGGAAAAGTAGTAAACAACCACTCGTCGCCCTCTCCACAATGGAAGCGGAAATGATAGCTGCTTGTGAAAGCTGCTGTCAGATCAAATGGATAATAAACCTTTTACGAGAGCTGGAAGAATGGAATTTCATGGAAAAACCAACTGCGATCTATACAGACAGTCAGTCATTGATCAACTGGATCTCCAGCCCTAAACAGGGCAGTCGCTGTAGACATATCAACAGAAAGTACCACTTCTTGAGAGACTGTTATGAATCCAGAGACATCTGCCTTCTGTATAAGCCATCCCAGGACCTGGAGGCGGATATCTTCACAAAGGACCTATCCCGAGACCAGATGAAGAAACACCTGGAAAGCCTCAGCATCGTGGGAATAAAGACAAAGTAAGGAGGGAATTGTTACGCAAACTTTGACTTTAATCATCATCGATGCTACGTCATATAGATGCTGACGTCACTACTTCCAACTTCTACCTTCAAACTTGCTGTTATTGTTTACCGCTAACTTGTCTTAACAATATATGTAATGGAACAAGTCGTTCCTTAAATAAATATATATTTGTTTTTATCTAAAGGGATGTCCTCGTAACTACAACATACGTGAGTACAAAAACAAACAGAAATCCTCAAAAAGAATAACCGTATTTTGCTAAGCCTATATCAGATTTTATTAATATGTAAAATTCTATCTGAAAATTAAAATATGAGGGAAAATGTTGCCGGCGACTTTCTAAAGCCAGACAAGCCCGCGAACTAACTAAACAATGTTTAGCTCAAATTTCCCACGTAGAGCAAGGCAAGGAGATCTCTTACTACCCTACGTCCTCAGAACCTACACAAGTGAAGATTTCTTCGCAGCTCTCATTACTATCGAAAATTCAGTGGACAATGATAGACTGAAGTCGCCCACTCAACAAAATATTATGGACTTCTTTTTAAAATGAACATTTGTGAATAATTGTACAAGTGTTTAAAGTAATAAATAATGAATTTTGAGTTCAAAATCTTGTTTGAGAAAGGTAAAATCAGAAAGCGCGCGCTCCCAATAAATTTATTACTTTAAAAACTTGCGGTATGTCACTTATATAATATTGTATCAACATAGTATGCATATCCCGAAACGGTCAAAACTTCAAACCCTTGGTTACTGGATTTTTTTCCCCTCATTCCCTCTTAATTGTTTAAACTCTTGTTATTTTGAACTCGTGATAAATTAATATTTTTCTCTGGTCCGTTGAGTTTCAAATTATAATTTGAAATCTCGATAATTATCGAGAGTCGAATGTAATTAAATTTGAAATTCTTAGAAATTTTTTAATCGGTGAATTTTTAAAAATTACATTCTAATCATCATTTTATCTTGCTTATTTGTTCTTGTTTTCTTTGAAAGAAAAACGCTTGTGGTCGTTTTGAAAACTTTTCTCTGTCTTAAAATATATATATATTAAATTAAACATATTTTATCAAGGTAAATATTATAAGATTGAAATAGTTTATTGTAAGTCTTGATTGAGACAATAGAACATAGAAATTCACTCATCAAATAGTTTGAGTTTTTTAAGGAAAAAGGTTACAAATATCAATGGCGGTTGATTATTAAAATGACATTGATTTTTAATTTTTAATGCCAAAAAAAACTTTTTAAATCCAGTATCTAATACACCTATAATTGATGAAGTTTCCGATAAGTAGTAAATAAATAGATTCACAAGTAGATTTTACATATATGTGAACCTAGAATCATTCACGCACATGTAAATTTTCCCAAGAAAGAACCAAGATGACTAGAAACGAAATGAAGGTCTCAGCCGCCATCAATGAAATTCTTTAAAAGGCCCACCGAATTTTAAACTTGATTATGTAAAAGTTTTGTTCACAGTCAAATCTCACTATAAACAACATCACTTGTGACCAAGATATTATGTTGCTATGGCCACTGTTAAAACAATTGGAACTTGAAAAAAAAATCTTTCAAAATTACGATGTTATAATCAAGTAGCTATTATAAAGAGGTTCCACATAATATTCGATTGTTGTTAATTAGAAGTTATAGAGAAAACAAAAATTGTTCTCAATTAAAAAACCCAAGTTAATTTTTATGTAAATACTAGACGTATGACCCGGCTTCGCCCGAGAATTCCCCCGATTGCAATTTCCTTCATACTGAAAGTACATCAATAATAAATATTAGAAGTGCCATAGAATAGCAATACAGAAGTAACACATAAACTACAGGAAAAAAGTGTGTGTGATGGCAAAAATTGTATTATATTAGGGTTTAGGTATTAAAAAAATTGTAAAAAAAAAAAATGCATCGGCCGGGAATCGAACCCGGGGCGCCCGAGTGGCAGGCGAGCATTCTACCACTGAACCACCGATGCTTATGAAAAATGGCCATATTTGGGTATTCATTCAATTCTGGATTACTCCGCGTAAAAAAAAAAGTTCTTCAAATGAAAAAAAAGAAATAGCCAAAAATACTAATCAAAATGTAGCCGAAAGTTTTCCTCAGGTTTATAAAAAGCGACATGCAAAATTTGGTACCAATTGGTTCAGTAGTTTTTGAGTTTATCGCGAAACAGACATTGACTTTTATATATATATAGAGATAGGTAAATGAGTTTTAAAAATTGTTTTAAAAAAAATGCATCGGCCGGGAATCGAACCAGGGCCGCCCGCGTGGCAGGCGATCATTTTACCACTGAACCACCGATGCTTATAAAAAATGGCCATATTTGGGTATTCATTCCATTCCAGATTATTCCGCGTAAAAAAAAGTTATTCAAATGAAAAAAGAAATAGCCTAAAATACTAATCAAAATGTAGCCGAAAGTTTTCCTCAGGTTTATAAAAAGCGACATGCAAAATTTGGTATCAATTGGTTCAGTAGTTTTTGAGTTTATCGCGAAACAGACAGACAGAAATTGGCTTTTTTATATATATAGAGATAATGGCTCTACAACATGTACTTTGGATAAGTACCATCACATTTTGCACACAGTCTTCGGTGTGATGCACACAGTTATTTGATGTGAAGTTATTTTCATAAGTTGATTCTATTGAAAACCTATCTGTACTGTAAAAAACAGTACAAAAGTGAAATTTTACTGGAATCGAGTGAATAAATTTTAAAAAGTTGCTGGTGGCTTGCGCTATCTGTTGGAATGGCACAAACCATTAGCAACTTTTAGTTGCATAATAAGGAGATGCTCTTTTTCTTAACCTATCTGCATACCGTGTTGTTGACAGCAATGTATGTGGCAGATGATTATCCCAGTGCGATGCTTTACTTGCGGCAAGGTGATTGGCAATAAGTGGGAGGCTTACTTGGGGCTTCTTCAAGCTGAGTACACTGAGGGGTGAGTATTCAATTATTGTCTGTTAGGGGCAGATTATCCTTATCTCTCTGTTGATGCATGAAAGGAATGCACGCCCTGTGCATTTGTTTTAAATTTTCCATGATTATTTTTCAATATACAATAAAACCCCTCTATAGTGAACCCCAATGGGACAGAGCTTTTGGTTCACTATAGCCACGGCTTGGCTAATTTTTTTTTTACTTTAAAAAATGTTTAGACCTTATAATTAAAGGACAGCCATACACATTGGAAGAGGTTGCCTCTTAATAGTGGTCACTTTGTTTTAATTCCCTTAATTGACCAATTTCCTTATATTAATACTGAAAAATGAAAGAAATCATTAGATGATAGGTTCTTCATGTCATTAGCATACATGTACCTCTATGTCTAATTTCAAAATCAAGACAAATACTAGGCAAAGTTTTATTAAATATATATTCAAAGATATAAAATGATTTTTTAAAACATCTTTATCACATTATATAATACAATGTTTACTTGAAAATTTGGCTCTAATACCTTGTTGCTTTAAAGCACTCTTCAAGCATTGCACCTTTCAAATAAAGTTAATAAGTGTTTTCTTCCATTTTCTTTCATGTTTCCATATATTGGAACCGACCTTCTTAAGTCTAGATTTCTTTTTGTTTTGAACCTGTCATGCAAACCATTGCTGGCTTTAAAATCGCCATAGTTCATGGCATAAAAAATAAATTTTGTTGCATCACGGGCCCATTTATTTGGACCTTTTTTTTTTTTTTAGCCCTAATACATACGATCGCGGCAAAAGTTGAGGTTGATTCCTCTTTGTAAACAATTATAATAGATAGGAGCAGGCCGGGGCTACACAGATATGCAAAGAGATCACCAGACACGGACCAATCAAACAGAGAAAGCTTTAAGCGTCTCTGCACAACAACTCTCTGGAAGAATTCTCGCATTACCTTTGAAATCCCTTTTACGTACAAACATGGCCACATTCATCCAATGAGAAGATGTATTCGCTAATCGAATACCAAGCACTTTCCCAGCTAACTCAAGTTGAGGTTGATTCCTCTTTGTAAACAATTATAATAGACTGCTAATTTATCTCTTATAATAGAAAATATATATTTTCTTATTTTAACATGACCTGAAATTTTGCCTGTGTTGTTTCACTTCAAAAAGTTTTGAAAGTGGCCTTTTTTTAAATTATTATTTCAAGTAATAACGTTTTTGTTTTTAGAATGCCTTTGTTTTCTTTATTATGGAAGCCATTTGCATTTTTTCTATTTCAAATTTGATGGTTGCAAAGATATTCTATTTAATAAAAAGTATAATGTGTAAAAATTTATACAAAATACAGCAAAAATTGAATGTAATTGAAAACATACAATGGCGCTAAATTTATTGTTTTGAAACCGCTATCCGCGAGCCTTTTTTTTATTATTTCAAGTAATAACGTTTTTGTTTTTAGAATGCCTTTGTTTTCTTTATTTTGGAAGCCATTTGCATTTTTTCTATTTCAAATTTGATGGTTGCAAAGATATTCTATTTAATAAAAAGTATAATTTTGTTATTTTATTTTTTTTTTAATTACAAATATAAGTTCGTTATTAGCATAGTATTTTTAATAGATTTTATTATTTTGGGACCTAAAATAGGTTCGTTATATTAAAAATCGCAAAGTTCGTTATAACAATGGTATTTTCAATGGAATCGGGAATCGCCTTAGGTTCGTTATAAGGGAAGGTTCGCTATATCCAGGGTTCGTATTAGCTGGGTTTTACTGTATATTTTTGTAAAAAAAGCCATAGCAGCGGTGCGCATCCATGGAAATATGGCTCAGCGGTTAAAACAAAGATTATAAACTGTTGGAGTTGTTGGCAAGTAAAGATGAAGTGTGGCATAGCATCAAGTAATTCTCTCTAAACTGTGTCCTCCTGGTGGAAGCCCTTGATCTATTGCTTTATCATCATCAATGAACACTTCCTCAAATTCCTAGGTGGGTATTTATCTCTGAAATAGGGATTTTCAAAGTTTAGCAAACCACAACCTTCCCATCTTTAATTCTTCATGGACTGGTGACAAAAGTTACTTTTACTTATTTACACACCAAAGTAAAAAGTAGCTTAACACACAGAAACACTTATATTCAAAAGGCATAGCCACAAAAAAAAGGAGTGAACTTAAATTAAAAAAAAAAAACACGATAAGTTATAACAAAACCAGTTCTTATATTTTATTCCAGCTTTGATAGGAGCAGACCGGGGCTACACAGGTATGCGAAGAGATCACCAGACACAAACAAAGCACTCAGAGAATGCTCCATACAACATCTCTCTGGAAGATTCCTCGCATTACCTTTGAAACCCCCTTTACGTACAAACATGGCCACATTCATCCAATGAGATGGTGTATTCGCTAATCGAATACCAAGCATTTTCCCAGCTAACTCAAATGCTATAAAATGTTTGTCAGATAATCTGTCACTGAGGTTAAACATGTGTTGTTGCAGAGATGCCCTGGATGCCCTCGGACTGAAGAGGTACTGTTGCCGCAGGATGCTGTTGGGCCATGTGGACCTCATTGAGAAGCTGCTCAACTACGCCCCACTGGAAAAGAACGAGTTCGAAGCAGCCAATGGGAGGCCGACGGGAAGCGGCTACGGGGATGCAGCGGCTAAAATGAAAAAACAATAACAGAAGAACCTGTAAACAACATTCGAACACGAGAATTTGCCCTGATCTCCGATTCTTTTAGTGTAAATATTTAAATATATAATTAATTAAATAATACTTTACTTATTTTCTTAAATTGTAATAAATATAATTTCCCTCCTGTTTTCGTCTATTTTAATCTACTTATATTTGCCTTATTCTGTCTGTTTGTCTGTTGAAGCTCACGGATGGGATTTTTCATAACCATCGGTGGTTCAGTGGTAGAATGCTCGCCTGCCACGCGGGCGGCCCGGGTTCGATTCCCGGCCGAAGCATTTTTTTTTTTACAATTTTTAAAACTCATTTATATATTATACAAGAATGACATCCACGGCGCCAATTTATAATTGTAACGAATAGTATTTGAATAAAAGCATTTAATCGGGTAAAACCCGGGCGTTGCCCGGGTCATTCATATATAATAATTGTATAAACGAATGCAAGACAAAATCACCGCGAATGTTTCTTTTTTTTTAAGGCAATTTCTTTTTAAGGAAATTATCGTTATTTATCGTTAATTTTTGTTTCGATTTTATTGAAAAAAAAACGATATGGTGCCTTTAAAAAATGATCTTTATTACTATGCAGTTTTCTATTTAGTCAATATACCTAAGTTCATGCTGCAAATGTAATTATCTCTATCGATTTAGTAGGTGAAATGCAAAAAAAAAAATCGACATGATGAAATCTTTATGAAAATTCACATTTTTATTTTTATATTTTCAAGACACACACAGTTTGGGGCGGGACGTTTCACAAGAGAGACATCCACGGCGCAAATTTATAATTGTAACGAATAGTATTTCAATTAAAACATTTTAAAAACACAGTTTGGAACGGGACGTTTCACAAGAGTGACATCCATGGCGCCAATTTATAATTGTAACGAATAGTATTTGAATTAAAACGTTTTAAAATATATACGCACTCGGGTAAAACCCGGGCGTTGCCCGGGCCATTCGTCTAGTAGTGCTATAAGCAGCGACACCTAAATTTTGAACCTTCAACCCCGCCGACCAAAAATAGAGGTGAGTGACTACCTCTATAGAACTTAGATCGTCGTCACAACGCAGAGTGGAGGTGAAATCGCAATATTTTTGGCATCCCAGCCGGGACAGTTGAAGGTAAGTTCTAGAAAAAAAAAATCATTTTAAGCTGACCATTTTGGAACTCGCTAGCTAACCCTACTTGCCGCTTTGTTTACAAGATGGCGGAAGAATTAATTCTACGTTTAAAGAAGAAGCGTGCTATTAACAGATCATATTTAGCGAAAACATGCAATAAGATTGAAAGTGGACTTGACACGCCAATTAGAATTGACCTTGAAGAATTATTAGAACAATTGAATGAATCATTTAACGAACTTAAATTAGTTGATCACGAAATAGAGACGCTTCTTGAAACTGACGATTTGGAGAGGGAATTACAGGGCGTAGAGGAATATCGAGAGAAATATATTACTTGGAGATTTAGGGCAAATAAAAAGATTCGCCAATCAGATTTTCATGGCGAAAATATACCGAATTCGAACTCACGAATAGATGAAAATGAAATGAGACATTATGTACCTTCCTGCACGACTGTGAAACTTCCGAAATTGATGATATCGAAATTTTATGGAAAATATAGTGAATGGCTGACGTTCTGGAATTCTTATGATG